CCTTTGCAGCAAGAGCACATTGAAGGGCAATGCATGTCACAAAGCAAGAAATCAAAATTCCCAACTCACTTACCAGCCAGCCTACAACAAACCAAATGACCCTGTCTAACAGATCATGTTAAAAACAAGGGGTTTATTTTGCACACATTTGCAAGTATATGTTTAAACCTCCTTGGCGGTATTCCCGAGTGTAGCTTGGGGTAAAGTTTCAGTACCAAAAGTGGTAACCCCGAGCTACACTTGGGCTTACCATGCGGCGTTGCTCAGGGATTCCCTGCAGCGCTTACCTTGTCTTTCGCTCCCACGATGCGTCCCCTGCCGCGTCCCCGGCCATCTCCTCCGGCCGAAGCCGGCATCTGGCTTCCGTGTTCCGGTCCCTGCGAGCGTCGGGACGTACGGGGCCAGAACGGCGGCAAATTTAAACAGTTTTAGAAACTGTCATTTTCTTAGAAATGAATTTAACATAGTAAAACATTACTGTATCAAACCATTTCACATACATTTTGTCCCTACTACTGCTTTGTCCTGTGCCCTGCTTACATTTTGACTGTTCTTTGTGCTTGGAAACTTAGAAAAGTCCATGGCGTCCAAAAAGCGTCCCTTTTGGTCAATAGCGGTTTTAGACCGGCTAGAGAACAGCGATAGTAAATCAGAACCACTTGCACAATTGAGTGATAATGATTTGTGGGGAAATTCATCATCAGACACTGAAAACAAATTTTGCGACTTTGCTCAGCGATGTGCGAACTTGGCGCTATATTTCAAATTTCAGTGTTTTTGGTTTGATTATATTATTGAATTAAATTTATTATTATTATATTATTATTTTTATGATTATTTATTATTATAATTTATTATTTTTTAAATGAGACTATAATTTATGTTTTGTGTTTCAAGTTCTATCATACCCGGAATGTTTACTAGACTCTTGTTCGGACAGATTTCAGTGAGTTATTCCTATAAATTACAGGCCTGCAATAAAAAAAATACATATATCCATGCAAAAAAATGTACAGCTTTCAGCACAGAAATATGGACATAATCATACCGCTAGGGAGGTTAAGCGGCAGAGGCCACTTTATGGCACCCTAGTATATCTGCAGCCCTAACTTTATACATTTTGAGAATCTCAAAAATTGGAGCACATATATAACAATGGGTTAAGGGCAGGTATGCCTGGAGGGAGCCCCCCCCTCCTTAAAGGTACAGGAACAGAACCTGTTACACGCACCACACCTGTGTTATACATTTTTGTATACTTTTGAGAACTGTGGAGCAACATCTTGAAAAATGTGTGTTGGGTTCACCTTATACCATGAAGAAAACTCTCAGGTATCCTCCTTCCCCTTCTCCTCTCCTTATCTGCTGCTTTTTTTTTTTACACCTCTTTTTTATTTATATTTCAACTTGGATCTTCATCCTTGCTATTCCATCCCTTTCATGCCTCTCCTATCTACTGCTCTATACAGAAGGAATGGTCTCTGTGTTTCCCCTGCTTTGCAGGGTTGAGAAACTTTGAGATGAGTAAGTAAAAGCAGCACACTTGACACACATTACACATAGTTAGGCACACATTTAATCACATGATCACCCTAGATGTTAACCCCTTCACAGCCAATATCATTAATACAGTGACAGTGTATAATACACTGCTCAAAAAAAAATTCAAAGAATACTTTGAAAACGCATCAGATCTCAATGGGGAAAAATATCATGCTGGATGTCTATACTGATATGGACTGGGTAATGTGTTAGGAATGCTCCATCATTTGATGGAAATGAAAATTATCAACCTACAGAGGACTGAATTCAAAGACACCCAGAAAATCAAAGTGAAAAAATGATGCAGCAGGCTAGTCCATTTTGCTGAAAATTTCATTGCAGCAACTCAAAATAATAGTAGATTGTATGGCCCCCACATGCTTGTATGCATGCCTGACAACGTCGGGGCATGCTCCTAATGAGATGACGGATGGTGTCCTGAGGTATTTCCTCCCAGATCTGAACCAGGGCATCACTGAGCTCCTAGACAGTGTGAGGTGCAACCTGACGGCGTTGGGTGGACCGAAACCTGATATCCCAGAGGTGTTCTATTGGATTTAGGTCAGGCGAGCGTTGGGGGCCATTCAATGGTATCAATTCCTTCATCCTCCTGGAACTGCCTTCATACTCTCGCCACATGAGGCTGGGCATTGTCATGCACCAGGAAGAATCCAGGACCCACTGTACCAGTGTAGGGTCTGGCAATGGGTCCAAGTTTCATCCCAATACCTAATAGCAGTCATGGTGCCATTGTCTAGCCTATAGAGGTCTGTGTGTCCCTCCATGGGTATGCCTCCCTAGACCATCACTGACCCACCACCAAAATGGTCATGCTGAACGATGTTACAGGCAGCATAATGTTCTCCTCGGCTCAGGGGCGGACTGACAACCCATGGGGCCCCCCGGGCAATAGGGGATCATGGGGCCCCTGTGTCCTTGCCCACACTCAAAGCACACCCAAAAAAGCCTATAAAAAAGGTAACGGGCATTCCATGGGGCCCCCTACTGACCCGGGCCCCTCAGGCACCGCCCGAGTGCTCAAATGGTCAGTCCGCCCCTGCCCTGGCTTCTCTAGACCCTTTCACGTCTGTCACATGTGCTTAGGGTGAACCTGCTCTCATCTGTGACAAGCACAGGGTGCCAGTGGCGGACCTGCCAATTCTGGTGTTCAATAGCAAATGACAAATTGAGCTCTGTGGTGGTGCGCAGCGAGCACAGGGGCCACTAGAGGACGTTGTGCCCTCAGTCCACCCTCATGAAGTCTGTTTCTGATTGTTTGGCCAGAGACATTCACACCAGTGGCCTGCTGGAGGTCATTTTGTAGGGCTCTGGCAATGCTTGTCTTTTTCCTTCTTGCACAAGAAGCAGATTCCGGTCCTGATGATGGGTTAAGGACCTTCTACGGCTCTGTTCAGCTCTCCTAGAGTAACTGCCTGTCTCCAGGAATCTCCTCTGTGCTCTTGAGACACAGCAAACCTTCTTGCAATAGCATGTATTGATGTGCCAACCTGGAGGAGTTGGATTGCCTGTGTAACCTCTGTAGAGTCCAGGTATTGCCTCATGCTAACAGTAGTGACACTGACCCTAGCCAAATGCAAAACTAGTGAAAAACAGTCAGAAAAGATGAGTAGGAAAAAAATGTCAGTTGCCTCCACCTGTAAAACCATTCCTGTTTTGGGGGTCGTTTCATTTGCCCATCTAGTGCACCTGTTGTTAATTTCATTAACACCAACGCAGCTGAAACTAATTAACAACCCCCTCTGCTACCTAACTGACTATATCAATATCCCAGGAGTTTAATTGACTTGATGCTAAACTCTGATTAAAAAGTGTTCTTTTATTTTTTTTGACCAGTGTATTATCACTGATCACCGTATTCATTTGTAGCACTACCCCCTTAGGAGTCGCTGAAGTTTGAGTCCCCCTATAGTCCTGCACGGCCAGGCAACACACATTTCCTTCACACAGACTTTCATCCAGGAGACAGTAATCAGTCCTTGAGTTTGGTTTTGAAGTTTTATTAGGGGAATTGAACTTGGATGGGGTAAAGAGTGTATGGGATGCCCAAGGGTAATGGCAAGAGAGGACAAACTCCTTATCAACTATGTACACTTCTTTAGAGCAAAAAGTCTCTCTTGGAGAGCTAGCCAGCATCTTCTGTAGTACCACCCCAGACCCCAGATGAATATTCTCCTGAATATTCTCCTCATCCAGCTGTACTGAGTGAATCCGTGGACAGGGGACCAGTTCTTGCCACTGCAGTGTGAACAGTCCCAGGTAAAAGCTAATCCAGTTTCCCACCAGAGTGCCTCTTTCCCCTTATTGGCCCAGGGGGTGAATGTTTACTCAGTCCTTCTCCTGTGCTGCTGGTGGGTTGGTGGCTGCTACCAGGCCTTCTAGCTGGGCCACTCTTTCCCTGCTGCACTGGTGCTCCTCACTCTGGGGGCCAGTGAAGTCCTGAGCTCCAAGGTACTCTGACTGTAGGTGAACCCATCTCCATCTGAGCCCCCTCCTAGGCTCCTACTCTCCAGCATCACTTCCTCATCTTCCACCCGAACTCTCCTTTCCTGCTGTGCAGGCTCTCTCGCTTTTAGGGCTGTCCTGGCCCTATGCCAAGCCGTCTGCTGGGGATTGGCCAGGATCCCACGGGCAATAGGGGATCATGGGGCCCCTGTGTCCTTGCCCACACTCAAAGCATACCCAAAAAAGTCTATAAAAAAGGTAACGGGCATTCCATGGGCCCCCTACTGACCCCGGGCCCTCAGGCACCGCCCGAGTGCTCAAATGGTCAGTCCGCCCCTGCCCTGGCTTCTCTAGACCCTTTCACATCTGTCACATGTGCTTAGGGTGAACCTGCTCTCATCTGTGACAAGCACAGGGTGCCAGTGGCGGACCTGCCAATTCTGGTGTTCAATAGCAAATGACAATTGAGCTCTGTGGTGGTGCGCAGCGAGCACAGGGGCCACTAGAGGACGTTGTGCCCTCAGTCCACCCTCATGAAGTCTGTTTCTGATTGTTTGGCCAGAGACATTCACACCAGTGGCCTGCTGGAGGTCATTTTGTAGGGCTCTGGCAATGCTTATCTTTTTCCAGTGGATGGTGGAATCAAAATGCAGATGCCAGTCAGTATGCAAACAAAAGGCAGCCACCCCAATCTACAACTGGCCTTTGCAGCAAGAGCACATTGAAGGGCAATGCATGTCACAAAGCAAGAAATCAAAATTCCCAACTCACTTACCAGCCAGCCTACAGCCTACAACAAACAGATCATGTTAAAACAAGGGGTTTATTTTTCACACATTTTCAAGTATATGTTTAACCTCCTTGGCGGTATTCCCGAGTGTAGCTTGGGGTAAAGTTTCAGTACCAAAAGTGGTAACCCCGAGCTACACTTGGGCTTACCATGCGGCGTTGCTCAGGGATTCCCTGCAGCACTTACCTTGTCTTTCGCTCCCACGATGCGTCCCCTGCCGCGTCCCCGGCCATCTCCTCCGGCCGAAGCCGGCATCTGGCTTCCGTGTCCGGTCCCTGCGAGCGTCGGGACATACGGGGCCAGAACGGCGGCAAATTTAAACAGTTTTAGAAACTGTCATTTTCTTAGAAATGAATTTAAACATAGTAAAACATTACTGTATCAAACCATTTCACATACATTTTGTCCCTACTGCTTTGTCCTGTGCCCTGCTTACATTTTGACTGTTCTTTGTGCTTGGAAACTTAGAAAAGTCCATGGCGTCCAAAAAGCGTCCCTTTTGGTCAATAGCGGTTTTAGACCGGCTAGAGAACAGCGATAGTAAATCAGAACCACTTGCACAATTGAGTGATAATGATTTGTGGGGAAATTCGTCATCAGACACTGAAAACAATTTTGCGACTTTGCTCAGCGATGTGCGAACTTGGCGCTATATTTCAAATTTCAGTGTTTTTGGTTTGATTATATTATTGAATTAAATTTATTATTATTATATTTATTATTTTTATGATTATTTATTAAATTATAATTTATGCTTTTGTGTTTCAAGTTCTATCATACCCGGAATGTTTACTAGACTCTTGTTCGGACAGATTTCAGTGAGTTATTCCTATAAATTACAGGTCTACAATAAAAAAAATACATATATCCATGCAAAAAAATGTACAGCTTTCAGCACAGAAATATGGACATAATCATACCGCTAGGGAGGTTAAGCGGCAGAGGCCACTTTATGGCACCCTAGTATATCTGCAGCCCTAACTTTATACATTTTGAGAATCTCAAAAATTGGAGCACATATATAACAATGGGTTAAGGGCAGGTATGCCTGGAGGGAGCCCACCCCTCCTTAAAGGTACAGGAACAGAACCTGTTACACGCACCACACCTGTGTTATACATTTTTGTATACTTTTGAGAACTGTGGAGCAACATCTTGAAAAATGTGTGTTGGGTTCACCTTATACCATGAAGAAAACTCTCAGGTATCCTCCTTCCCCTTCTCCTCTCCTTATCTGCTGCTTTTTTTTTACACCTCTTTTATTTATATTTCAACTTGGATCTTCATCCTTGCTATTCCATCCCTTTCATGCCTCTCCTATCTACTGCTCTATACAGAAGGAATGGTCTCTGTGTTTCCCCTGCTTTGCAGGGTTGAGAAACTTTGAGATGAGTAAGTAAAAGCAGCACACTTGACACACATTACACATAGTTAGGCACACATTTAATCACATGATCACCCTAGATGTTAACCCCCTTCACAGCCAATATCATTAATACAGTGACAGTGTATAATACACTGCTCAAAAAAATTAAAGGAAATACTTTGAAAACGCATCAGATCTCAATGGGGAAAAATATCATGCTGGATGTCTATACTGATATGGACTGGGTAATGTGTTAGGAATGCTCCATCATTTGATGGAAATGAAAATTATCAACCTACAGAGGACTGAATTCAAAGACACCCAGAAAATCAAAGTGAAAAAATGATGCAGCAGGCTAGTCCATTTTGCTGAAAATTTCATTGCAGCAACTCAAAATAATAGTAGATTGTATGGCCCCCACATGCTTGTATGCATGCCTGACAACGTCGGGGCATGCTCCTAATGAGATGACGGATGGTGTCCTGAGGTATTTCCTCCCAGATCTGAACCAGGGCATCACTGAGCTCCTAGACAGTGTGAGGTGCAACCTGACGGCGTTGGGTGGACCGAAACCTGATATCCCAGAGGTGTTCTATTGGATTTAGGTCAGGCGAGCGTTGGGGCCATTCAATGGTATCAATTCCTTCATCCTCCTGGAACTGCCTTCATACTCTCTCCACATGAGGCTGGGCATTGTCATGCACCAGGAAGAATCCAGGACCCACTGTACCAGTGTAGGGTCTGGCAATGGGTCCAAGGATTTCATCCCAATACCTAATAGCAGTCATGGTGCCATTGTCTAGCCTATAGAGGTCTGTGTGTCCCTCCATGGGTATGCCTCCCTAGACCATCACTGACCCACCACCAAAATGGTCATGCTGAACGATGTTACAGGCAGCATAATGTTCTCCTCGGCTCAGGGGCGGACTGACAACCCATGGGGCCCCCGGGCAATAGGGGATCATGGGGCCCCTGTGTCCTTGCCCACACTCAAAGCACACCCAAAAAAGCCTATAAAAAAGGTAACGGGCATTCCATGGGGCCCCCTACTGACCCCGGGCCCTCAGGCACCGCCCGAGTGCTCAAATGGTCAGTCCGCCCCTGCCCTGGCTTCTCTAGACCCTTTCACGTCTGTCACATGTGCTTAGGGTGAACCTGCTCTCATCTGTGACAAGCACAGGGTGCCAGTGGCGGACCTGCCAATTCTGGTGTTCAATAGCAAATGACAATTTGAGCTCTGTGGTGGTGCGCAGCGAGCACAGGGGCCACTAGAGGACGTTGTGCCCTCAGTCCACCCTCATGAAGTCTGTTTCTGATTGTTTGGCCAGAGACATTCACACCAGTGGCCTGCTGGAGGTCATTTTGTAGGGCTCTGGCAATGCTTGTCTTTTTCCTTCTTGCACAAGAAGCAGATTCCGGTCCTGATGATGGGTTAAGGACCTTCTACGGCTCTGTTCAGCTCTCCTAGAGTAACTGCCTGTCTCCAGGAATCTCCTCTGTGCTTGAGACACTGCAAACCTTCTTGCAATAGCATGTATTGATGTGCCAACCTGGAGGAGTTGGATTGCCTGTGTAACCTCTGTAGAGTCCAGGTATTGCCTCATGCTAACAGTAGTGACACTGACCCTAGCCAAATGCAAAACTAGTGAAAAACAGTCAGAAAAGATGAGTAGGAAAAAAATGTCAGTTGCCTCCACCTGTAAAACCATTCCTGTTTTGGGGGTCGTTTCATTGTTGCCCATCTAGTGCACCTGTTGTTAATTTCATTAACACCAACGCAGCTGAAACTAATTAACAACCCCCTCTGCTACCTAACTGACTATATCAATATCCCAGGAGTTTAATTGACTTGATGCTAAACTCTGATTAAAAAGTGTTCTTTTATTTTTTTTGACCAGTGTATTATCACTGATCACCGTATTCATTTGTAGCACTACCCCCTTAGGAGTCGCTGAAGTTTGAGTCCCCCTATAGTCCTGCACGGCCAGGCAACACATTTCCTTCACACAGACTTTCATCCAGGAGACAGTAATCAGTCCTTGAGTTTGGTTTTGAAGTTTTATTAGGGGAATTGAACTTGGATGGGGTAAAGAGTGTATGGGATGCCCAAGGGTAATGGCAAGAGAGGACAAACTCCTTATCAACTATGTACACTTCTTTAGAGCAAAAAGTCTCTCTTGGAGAGCTAGCCAGCATCTTCTGTAGTACCACCCCAGACCCCAGATGAATATTCTCCTCATCCAGCTGTACTGAGTGAATCCGTGGACAGGGGACCAGTTCCTGCCACTGCAGTGTGAACAGTCCCAGGTAAAAGCTAATCCAGTTTCCCACCAGAGTGCCTCTTTCCCCTTATTGGCCCAGGGGGTGAATGTTTACTCAGTCCTTCTCTGTGCTGCTGGTGGGTTGGTGGCTGCTACCAGGCCTTCTAGCTGGGCCACTCTTTCCCTGCTGCACTGGTGCTCCTCACTCTGGGGGCCAGTGAAGTCCTGAGCTCCAAGGTACTCTGACTGTAGGTGAACCCATCTCCATCTGAGCCCCCTCCTAGGCTCCTACTCTCCAGCATCACTTCCTCATCTTCCACCCGAACTCTCCTTTCCTGCTGTGCAGGCTCTCTCGCTTTTAGGGCTGTCCTGGCCCTATGCCAAGCCGTCTGCTGGGGATTGGCCAGGATCCCACGGGCAATAGGGGATCATGGGGCCCCTGTGTCCTTGCCCACACTCAAAGCACACCCAAAAAAGCCTATAAAAAAGGTAACGGGCATTCCATGGGGCCCCCTACTGACCCCGGGCCCTCAGACACCGCCCGAGTGCTCAAATGGTCAGTCCGCCCCTGCCCTGGCTTCTCTAGACCCTTTCACGTCTGTCACATGTGCTTAGGGTGAACCTGCTCTCATCTGTGACAAGCACAGGGTGCCAGTGGCGGACCTGCCAATTCTGGTGTTCAATAGCAAATGACAATTGAGCTCTGTGGTGGTGCGCAGCGAGCACAGGGGCCACTAGAGGACGTTGTGCCCTCAGTCCACCCTCATGAAGTCTGTTTCTGATTGTTTGGCCAGAGACATTCACACCAGTGGCCTGCTGGAGGTCATTTTGTAGGGCTCTGGCAATGCTTGTCTTTTTCCTTCTTGCACAAGAACAGATTCCGGTCCTGATGATGGGTTAAGGACCTTCTACGGCTCTGTTCAGCTCTCCTAGAGTAACTGCCTGTCTCCAGGAATCTCCTCTGTGCTCTTGAGACACAGCAAACCTTCTTGCAATAGCATGTATTGATGTGCCAACCTGGAGGAGTTGGATTGCCTGTGTAACTCTGTAGAGTCCAGGTATTGCCTCATGCTAACAGTAGTGACACTGACCCTAGCCAAATGCAAAACTAGTGAAAAACAGTCAGAAAAGATGAGTAGGAAAAAAATGTCAGTTGCCTCCACCTGTAAAACCATTCCTTTTTTGGGGGTCGTTTCATTGTTGCCCATCTAGTGCACCTGTTGTTAATTTCATTAACACCAACGCAGCTGAAACTAATTAACAACCCCCTCTGCTACCTAACTGACTATATCAATATCCCAGGAGCTTTAATTGACTTGATGCTAAACTCTGATTAAAAAGTGTTCTTTTATTTTTTTTGACCAGTGTATTATCACTGATCACCGTATTCATTTGTAGCACTACCCCCTTAGGAGTCGCTGAAGTTTGAGTCCCCCTATAGTCCTGCACGGCCAGGCAACACACATTTCCTTCACACAGACTTTCATCCAGGAGACAGTAATCAGTCCTTGAGTTTGGTATTGAAGTTTTATTAGGGGAATTGAACTTGGATGGGGTAAAGAGTATGGGATGCCCAAGGGTAATGGCAAGAGAGGAAACTCCTTATCAACTATGTACACTTCTTTAGAGCAAAAAGTCTCTCTTGGAGAGCTAGCCAGCATCTTCTGTAGTACCACCCAGACCCCAGATGAATATTCTCCTCATCCAGCTGTACTGAGTGAATCCGTGGACAGGGGACCAGTTCCTGTCACACTGCAGTGTGAACAGTCCCAGGTAAAAGCTAATCCAGTTTCCCACCAGAGTGCCTCTTTCCCCTTATTGGCCCAGGGGGTGAATGTTTACTCAGTCCTTCTCCTGTGCTGCTGGTGGGTTGGTGGCTGCTACCAGGCCTTCTAGCTGGGCCACTCTTTCCCTGCTGCACTGGTGCTCCTCACTCTGGG